TGTCATCTGCAAACTTACTGAGGGTGCACTCAATGCCCTCATCCAGGTCATCAATAAAAATATTGAAATGAGATATGTGGAATGGGCATTTATTTATATGGACCCCTCCATCCTCAGTGTGGTTTGCAGGATCCTTACTTCAGTGCTCTCTGTGGAACAACCATGCCCCAGGTAGAGTAAAATGGAAATTCCAATTAAGTTCCAGGAGAAGATATGCTGTTTTTCTAACAAGGTAAAGACTTGATTTCATCTAGAACATCGTTTAGGCTTTTCACAAAAAGATTATGAAAGTTATTGTGTTAGTGCATTGCAAATCACAGAATCACAGAATTGCCAGGGTTGGAAGGGACCTCAAGCATCATGAATCTCCAACCCCCCTGCCACATGCAGGGCCACCAACCATCCCACCTAATGCTAGACCAGGCTGCCCAGGGCCCCATCCAATCTGGCCTTGAACACCTCCAGGGATGGGGCATCCACAACCCCTCTGGGCAGCTGTTCCAGCACCTCACCACTCTCTCCATAAAGAATTTCCCCCTGACGTCCAACCTAAATGTCCCTTCCCTCAGCTTAAAACCATTTCCCCTTGTTCTGCAGATATCAACCCTTTCAGATATTAAGATATGTGTTTGCTTTTGCATGTACAGTGAGCGTATGGGCAAGTTGTCTGCACAGTCGTCACAGAGTCTGCATGTAATCAGATTCTTTGCTAGTAGTTTAGCCCCCTGGCATTTTATCTAAGGACAGAGGGCAGGATGAAAGAACTGAAACAAGTTAATTGATGGAAAACCAACACAAAAAAAACACAGCAATGTTGGATCGTACATTATAGAAATAATACTTTAAAAATCAGTTTTAAAAGACTTACTGGCACACTACTGTCTCTTGATGAGAGAGTATGAGTGCCTTATGAATACCTGAAGAAAGCCCAGTCTGTTTTGAAGAACAAAAGAATTGCTGTATGAAAACCAAACAGAAGTATGTTGTTAAATTGAGCAGATAGCTTTTATGGAGGGTAACAGGGGAGAGACAAATTGAGTGCAGAATTGAAAGCAGCGAGGTCGGTTAAGTAGCAGCATCTTACTGGAGACCATACAAAATTCATCATTACATCACACTTCTAAGTTGATTAAGTATTAAAAAGAAATTCTGTAATTGGAATAGCTTTTTTGAGCCATGCTAAACATTTGAGTCATTGTTTGATTATTGTAGCCGTTCCTTAAGATTGAGTTTGACATAAGCCAGTTTTCTAGAAACTCTACAAAGGAGGATGAAACCTCCTTGGAGCAACGAGTTAATACAGTGCAAAAGCTACCTACAAGGGCTGCTCTGAAAGTAATGCTGTCTATTTTATTATGTTGGCCCATGACATCATAGGTGAATGGTAGTAGAGGCTGGACCTTCCCACCCATATTCCACTTTGTCGCCATGTGACAGATGTCAGTAGAGGGATGATCTGACAAAATGGTGTCTGATGTGGAAATGCATAAGAAGCAAAGGTGTCATTGAATTCCTCCATGCAGAAAAAATGGCGCCCACTGATGTTCATCAATGCTTGCTTGAACATTTACGGAGACCAAACAGTGGTTGTGAGCACAGTGAGGTGGCGGGTGGTATGTTTAGCAGTGACAACAGCTATGTGAAAGTCAAACCTTGTTCCAGAAGGCCAAGCAAGCACAACTGTCACACCGTGAAATGAAGCATATCTTGATGAGCTGATCTGTGTGAACAGACTGATGGTGGTGACTATGTTGAAATATAGTGTTTGATAGCTGAGAATTTGCTTTATCAAATAGTGTTGCTGTGTTCTTTGTATCTGTTGTAGCTTACATGCAAATAAAGAGAAGATATTATTTTTTGAGTGATCTACATACAAATGGCAGGTAGAATGTTTGCTATATACTACTGTTTTGCAACCCTTTCCTCCATTTTGAGGCATTGCAGTCCAAAGACATGGCCAGAACTTAGACTTAACATTTAGGTTTGAACATCAAGACTGTAAGAAATGGAAGCGCTTCAATCATTATGGTGACAGTGGTGTTCATTATCTTGACTTATTTTGGGGGGAAAGGCTGTTTTTGGGGCATCTTTTATTCAGACAATCTCTAGTTTTCATTGCTGACCTTTCTTTGCGTCATCATTGAGGGCATCATATAATAATGAGGGCAACGTACAGACTGGTGGATTTTATTGGTAATGGAACAGAAATGCTTAGAACCATTGCAGTGCTGGCAGTCAGCTTGTTTTTCGTGGTGAAATTATCTTTCTGTTAAAAAAAAAAAAAAAAGGTGGTGATCTAAGGTAAGCTGTACGCTGCTTCCACTGGCTTGGGGTAAAATTGTACAGAACCTATTGCACAACAGGTCACATCCTAAAACTGTTTTTTGTCACATGGCTCATGGTATTTTTCTTCTGACTTGAAGACTGCGCTTGTTCTGAAGTTGCTGATGTTTGGTGGTGTTCTTACTGTCATCTCTAAAACAGGAATTCCAGAATAATCGAGGAACCCTTACAGTTGTGTTCTCCTTAATAAAACTGAAAAAACAATAAGACCAATAATTAATGATACTGTTGATATAAATACTTTGCTTGCCCATCTAAGGCTCCGCAGTGGAACATTTCTGGTAGTCAGTAATGCTTAACATTTAGAAAGGAAGTTGGAATTTCACAGAGGAAATGGTGTGTCGTGGATACTGTTAACTGGCTAGACAAGCTGTTGGGCAAGGCATCTAACCGGCATGATGGGACAGGAGAAAAGAAAAAGCATGTTACATATGTTGAAAAAGATGTTTGGCATTAATTAGTATCCCACTAATTAATGTGTTCTTGTAAAGCTCTAAGACAGGTGTCTGTAATTGTACCTTTTCTCATTCTCCTTGCTATGCAAAAGTGCATTCCTTTGAGTTAAGATTGGGTAATGATTAATCGAATAAGAAAAAACTCATCATTTTAAATAGGTATTCCTGGTGGATCACTTCTTCAACTTAAGTTACTGCAATTTGTGTTTTTTTGTAGTACTGTATGAAAAAACGTCAGTGTCAGAGACAGTTTTTTGTTACAGATAATCAGGCTCAGGCTTAAACATCACTCGAGATATAAAAAACAGCTTCCTAATTGAGGTTTCTGGTATTTTTTAGTGTTGCTATTGTTATCAAAATACATAAAAAATGTTAATGCATACATAAAATTCCTCCCTGTGTGCCTTTTGTTTTTGCAGGCACCATCCTGGTTGACAATATGCTGATCAAAGGGACAGCATCAGGGCCAGACCCCACCATTGAGCTCTCCTTAAAGGACAACGTTGATTACTGGGTGATCCTTGATCCCATCAGCCAGAGGTTGTACTTAAACAGCACTGGCCGAGTTCTGGACAGAGATGTAAGTTTGGAGCCTGTGGTTTGTTTTCTTTTCTCCCCGTAGACTTCATTTTCTGAATCTGTGTGTACTTACAGGATGATTGTGAACATAAGAATTGCTGTAATATAATGTGTTGTCCCCAGATGACTGCAAACAGAATCGATTATTTGTTTAGAACTCACTTAGGAGCGTGGTGAAATTTGGTCATGAAAGTTACACGTGGGCAAAGACAAGAGTAAAGACAAGAACAAATGACCGTGTATCCGCAGAAATAGATATGGAACCAAACTCGACTGTTTATTGAATTAGGAGAATTTTTGCTTTGCTGCTTCGGTCTGGGAGGTGAAGTGCTGCTCACTCCATGACGCTTTTACACTTAGTGTCTTTTAGCAAAAGCTTGCTCTAGCTGCGTACATAGCTTATGAGATGGGAGAAAAAGCAATGGAGCTAAATACACTACAGTTCAGAGTGTTGTTTAGAGCACATCTAAAGCTTGATGTGCTCATATAAGAATCTGCTAGTTTAAGGGGGGGTTGTTTGTGTATTTGTTTTGAAGGCAGCATTAAATTGGTGTGGTATGCTTTTTCCTATTAGCATTAGGTGAATGTTGTCAGGCCACATTTTTTTTTCTTTCTAAAAACATGAAATGAGCGTTATCATCTGTACCAATTTTGTTTGAGGGAAATGCTTTTTAAAAATGCAGATATTGTTTTACTGTTAGGCTGCAGCATATACTACAGTTTATCAGAAGCTGCAAGAAAAACTAACTCACAAATGACTGTAATCAACATGGAAAGAGTGATTCAAAGATCACGTGAAGTTCTCCTCGGAGTGCATCAGTTTATTTTATATTAGCTTGATAATTGGTTTGTCTTCTCCATTTATTCTGGGGTGTTTTCAAAAACAACGTGCAAATGTATTTCCCTTTCCATTTTATTTTATTTTATTTGAAGCTAATTGAATTTAGCTGGGCTTAAAATAGCTTTCGTTCACAAACTTAATATGTGAAGCAAAGGTTTGCAGTGCAAAACATGGCAGAATGGACGTGATGGGGCAAGGAAATCCCAGTGCATCAAGTGCCAAATACCCAGCTGCCTTTGCAGCAGCACTAGTTCAGTAACAGTCTAGCCAAACTCATAAATGCTGTATATCATCATGAATAAAGGCACTTCAGAGTGTTGTTCTTTGCAAAATGTAGACTCAGACCACAAGGAAATAAATGGACAGTATATGTTTGCTTAATTTACGTAAAGTTAGTATTGATTTTCCATTTGTTTTTAAGGGATTATTTCCTCATTTTTACAATGAACCAAAATTGAGAAAAGCCTAGTATCTGCAGAAAGAGGATTATATACGTTTTGATCCCTAGTACTGCAATGCTGAGTAAAATTACTTGTGCTCGTTTCAATGTGTTAGAATATGAAAAGAAAAAATGTAATTTAGGACAACTGATATTTTGGGTGTGATCCCCACTGTACTTAACTTCTGGGGTCTCAATCTCAATCGAGTTATACGTTAAAGAAAATGAAAGCAACCCATGGAAACTCAGCCCAATGGTCAATTGAATATGTGAAGCTTATACCATGGACTTGATTGATATGGTTCCTATCTAAAGGTTGTTTCCAACCGTTGGAAGCAGACCTATACAGAACTCCCAATGGCATGTGCAATTTTTGTCTTTCCTTTGCTTGTTTAACAAAAAAAAAAAGCTGTGTTTTTCATTTCTCAAGTGAAAATTACGTGAATCCTAGTAGTTCCAATAGAATTTGGTTTTTTTTATTAATTCAATCCTTGAAATTCAAGTTTCGATTACGGAGCAGGAATTGGAGTCTCAGTCACAAATGGAGCATATGTGATTGCACGCAATAAATCTGGATTCCCTTCCCATTTTTCTCCTGTAACCCTGCCTGTCATCTCTCTGCTGAACCAGATAACCTGGTCTCATTTTTTTTTATTACTTTTCTTGAAAGAAATTTATTAGATCCCGTTGATTGATTTTCACCAAGAATGACAATATGTTTTCCAAACAAAATCAGATAGAAAGACAATTCCAGACTTTTTTACCAAAGCTTCAAGTGCTTGGGAAAAATAAATAGAGATGGAGAGGAAGCGAGCTGCTGCAGTGTGTTAGAATAATTTGTCCCCAGTGTGATTAAATATATATTGTGCTGTTAGGTATTTACATTCATTGCTTGTAAATCGTGAAAACAACATGTGTTCATTTAAAGAATGATTTTATAGCTAGGCACTGACCAAGCAGAAATTACATGTGAAAATAGCCCTACACTGGTCATACTTCAGCAGAGGCAAAAAACTGTGGGTTTTTTTCCATGACTTTATCAAAAAGACCAAGTGATGGTTGCAAATCCAGCACTTTGTGTATTTGCTTATATGCTGCTACAGACAGCTGTGGTTTTCGTAGGTGTTACTAAAAGCAGCAGATAACCTCAGTTGCGTTTTAAATATATTAAAATGGGTTAAAAATTCTGTTCTGGAAGCTTGCAAAGAATGCCAGCTTGAAAAATAGAAACGATAATGCTCAAATCTTAATTTTTAAGTTAGTGACTATATTTGACGTGTTCCTACTTCTGTTGAAAGTAGAACCACCTTGTCATTGGCTGCAGATTTCTACAGCAAAGGGAACCTTAGGGTTAGGGAACCTGATTGCTGAGAAAGCTGAGTCTAAGGAGGTGAGGGAAGATTAGATCTTTGTGTAAGATCTCAGCAACAGCATAAATCCTTCTTTTCCCATGCCTACTGACTCTTTAAAAACTGATCAGTACCGCAGCCTACGGGGTAAAGAAACCGTATGGTTCTACAATCCATTGTAGTAAAACTTGAAAAAATCAATCACTCAGAGAAATTGTTGCACTTAGAATGAGTGAAAGCGTAATTATGCAGATATATAATTATGGTATAATTGTGAGTCTCGGGATCTCAATACAAAAACCTGTTTGTGTTCATTGTGCTGTAGAGTACATAGGCATTTTTAAATTATGCTTTTGAGTTGTTTATTCTTTTGAAGGCTTTGAGGTTAATAAATACAGAGTTTTGTTGGTTTGTCCCTTTCAATGCGTTCTTGCTTTCTGCTGCGCATCAGATACTAAATCAAAAAGGAAGTTTATTTTATCTGAATATTGTGGCCTTCACTGTAATTAAAACAAGAGGGCTTTGGATGGTCTTCACTTAGAGGTGACTGAGTTGTTTTTAAATTACTTGATACATGCAAGTGGTAGAATATTTAATTTATTTTTGACTTGACCATTCAGTTCAAATACTAAGCAATCAGAAGTTAAAATGTGTGACGTTTTCTAGGTATCAAATGATTATTGAAATGGAATTGATTATTGAAATGGAATTGATTATTGAAGAACCTAACAATTATTCAGTCAAAATGTGTGGGTTTTTTTTTTTTCATTCCTGAGAAAGGTGTGAAAAGCTAATCTTGCTGAGGATTTTTAGATGCTCTGTTTATCTTTGTGTTAGCACGTTCAGTTGGCAGAGCTCAGTCTGCACAGTACAGCTGTGAGACGAGGTCTGTGTGAAACACTTCCAGCGTGAGCTGTAGTCAGGATGCTTTTGGAGAAGCTTTCTGAATCTAGAATGACAAAGTACAGCATCAAGCATCACGCAGACTGATGGGCTACAGAGGATCCTGAGCAGTATTAACATTGGTGTAACATTTAACTCTTCATTCGGTTCATATTTGCCTATATTAACAATGCGTATTTTTGATTACAGCCTCCAATGTCCATCCAGTCCATTGTGGTGCAAGTGCAGTGTGTTAACAAAAAGGTTGGCACCATTATCAACCATGAGGTACGGATCGTGGTGAGAGACAGGAATGATAACTCACCTCAGTTCCAGCAGCAGCGATATTACGTGGCAGTAAACGAGGTCAGAATTGATTCCTTTTCTTCTTTCTTTCGTTCCTTTTTCTTATATATTATTTGTTTGTTGCGAGAAGCCAACTTCTTTCACTTCTTGTTCAAAAACCCAATAAATGCAGTAACTTTTAAATCTCTTCATTTGTGTCAATTTGGAGAAACGCAGCACAGCCAATATCCTGAAGTTTTTAGCATGAGAGCTACTCTTCCTGATTCCTAACAGTTACAAAGATCAGCATGCCTTCCACCAGAATGCATATAATAGATGGAGTTTTGTGAAGCTGTGTCTGAAGGAGTAAGGCATTGGTTTATGTTACGTTTACAAAATGTTCTACTGCGTTTTGCAGCTTTATCAACATGACTGAAAGTAAAGCAAATTTATTTATGAAAAATAAGTGTAGGTCAAAAGTTTTTATTAAGAACCTTGTAGCCTGTAAAGTTCAGACTACTGCTGTTTATTAAATGGTACCTGTGAACTGAAGTATTTTGTTCTCTTATTCTAATACAGTAGAAATCTATGGATTGGACTTGTCCATATTATTTGAAGGTTTTGTGTGTGTTTTTTTCTTTTGAGCAAATAATATTTCATTTCACTTTAAAATTGCATTTCTTATTCTCCTAGGTATTAAATAATCTGTTAGTAAACAACACAAAGGACGTGTGTTTGCAGTAAATTAGTATTTGTGAGCTACAGTAATGAGAAGCAGGAAGTATCTGTGGTCTTCCAGTACCTGAAGGGGCATACAGGAAAGCTGGAGAGGGACTTTTTATAAGGACAGATAGTGACAGGATGGTGGGAAGTGGCTTTAAGCTGTAAGAGGGTAGATTTAGAGTAGATGTTAGGAAGAAATTCTTTACTGTGAGGGTGAAGAGACACTGGAACAGGTTGCCCAGAGAAGCTGTGGATGCCCCATCCCTGGAAGCACTCCAGGCCAGGCTGGATGGGGCTGTGAGCAACCTGGGCTAGAGGAGGGTGTCCCTGCCTATAGCAGGGGGTTGGAACTAGGTGAACTTAAAGGTCCCTTCCAACCCAAACCGTTCTGTGATTCTATGAAGTGGAAGTGTCCAGATTGAAATTAAAGATAGACAGGTTTTTCTTCCATCTTCACTATCATTAGTTAAGCAATTAAACCAGTTACGTATCATAGTGATTATTCAGTGTGTTGGGGAGTTTTGTTTTTTTACTGTGACCATATGTTCTGTTATGATCACTACATTGCTTTAAGTGACCAAGCATGCAGGCAGGTGGTGTTCAGGAAATCCAATAGTCCCCAGGGAAAGGAGGGCAGAAGTTGTTTGATCAGTTCTGAACTAATGAAGCTCGAAGTATTAAGATTAAAAATGAAGGAAAACCCAACATTTCCTTAACTGGGGATATTCAAGAGCGGTCTGGAAGCCTACCTATGTGACCTGCTTTAGCAGAGGCATTGGACGAGATGATCTCTGGAGGTCCCTTCCAAGCCCTGCTATTCTGTGATTCCGTGATGAAGGAAGCGAGGATTTTCCATACTTAAAAGTCCAAAAGGCAGAGAGAAAAATGTGCCATTTAGAATGCTTCATATTTAGTGGCTTTATATGTTTCAAATATCTGCGCTCATTTATTTGCATTATTGTTGAGTGAAATGCAATCTTACTCTTTTTACCAGCTCAATATAATTAGCTGCTTTGTTTCATTTTATCACTGTTAGGCTTCTGTCTTCTGTCGTGGCACCACTGTGCCATTCAGGATCACCCCCTGGGTTCATGTTCTCATTAATTAACGAAAAAAAATAAGCTCACAAAACATCTCAGGCTTCCTTGAAGGTTTCAGTGAATGACTGTGTGTTCAATGATGGGTTATCCTGCTAGAAATTGGCAGTGCCACTAGTGGATTTGACTACACTGGAGAGGGGGCAAGTGGTGGTTTTCAATTCTCTTTGGTTTTAGATTTCCAAAGATAGTCAAAGCTATTTTAATAATTTCTGGTAGCTGTAATGCCAATTAATGCCTGTAAATACTGGGTTTTACTTGATTGGGTGGGTTTTCGGTACCAGAAATGTCAGGTGGTAAATCATATTTTGGAGAAATGGAGTGCTTCTTCTGTCTAATATTGATCTGCCCACAACATACTGAAAAACATTTGTAAAGGAAGGTGGGGGTTATTTTAATTCCATCGTAAATCCTAGTTTCACATGACTTTTCATGAAGATATTGTTTAAAATTAAGTTTCTCTTTTTCTGAGAGCTTAGATGGAGCTAGATTTGGTAGGGCAGTATTCATCTTGGTTTATAGCTGAGTGTATGTCAGTTTTTTACACTCAGTTGGTTAGAAAAGGAGGATGTCTGTACCCAGACAGAGGGAGGACTTTGCAGATCCATTGAATTTTCTGTCAGTGGCCCTTACAGATGCTCAGGTGTAAGCACAGGGAAGCATGCACCGTGTTCACTCAGCCAAGCTCCTTCCACTTGTAGCTATAAAGTGTGGTAGGATGAAAGCAGTGTATGTAATCGCTCTTAACCAGTTTTCCTTTCCCGTTTTCTTTTGAATGCGTGCATTTTAAAATTAATACTACAAGAAGCATCATTGGATGTATTGGACTTTTCCATATTGTTGTACACATCTTTCACAGCATCAGGAATAGCATGGATGTAATTTCAGAAATACTTGATTTTTGAAGTCATCTTTCAGTTCAGGAATAGAAAATTTCATGATTATTACCTATTTTCTGGCATCTCAAAGTCAAGCAAAAGAAGCAGTTTACTTGTACTTGTGAGTATGTAGACATGTAGATGCAGCTATTCTCACTTGTGCGTGTACATGTGTGCATATATCCATGTGTGTTTGTATTTTTTTTATTATATTTATATATACAAATTTAAAATCTCCACTGTTTCTGGTCCTGATGGTCATAGTAAGGATCTAATGCAGACACAAAAGATCGATCTGCTTGAAATTAATTGATATTTTGCTAACAAGAAAATTAAGTTGTCATTAAACTATTGACTATTTGTAATCTTCTGGGTTATGAAACTGAATTGGAAATAATTCAGATAGCTTAGCAAAGCACAAACAGAGCTGTTAGGAGCTAAGCTTAGCCCTTTCATCAACTTTATCAAGGCAGAAAACATGTGAGCATCTCAGCCAACACCAAATCTAACTGCTATCCACAGCCTTATGAATCTCCTCGTTAAAGCAGAAACTAGTTATTTAAGGTTCATGCTAAATATTTTCCGACCATTAGAAATACAGTAAAAGGTTATTTTCTTTGTATTTACTCACATATATTTATTCGTATGAACATGTCACATCATTATTTAGAAAAAATTCCTGACGAGATGACATTAGCCCAGGGCTGCATTCGACCATGTGTATTAGTGACCTAAAGATATTTGTTATTGCAGTATACCCAAATAACATTCTGACAGGCTGAAAAGCATGCAGTTTTTTTTGAAATAGGGAAGAATTGTGCAGCTCAACTAACACTGTACAGACAAAGGTATTGCCCCAAGGCTTTTAAAAACGCGTAGCCTGATATGGGGACTAGAAACTAAAATCTTGTAATGCTGAGACAGAGGTCATGTTGGCTGTTTTGTGTTCAGCTGAATGGATCTGAGCAAATTCATCTAAATACAACTGCATTGCCTGTGTTCTTAGAAAATATACATTTTTCACATGGGCCTTACTTGAGTTTGTGATGTTTTGTTAATCTCAGTAGTGGTATCAGGTTTTATTCGGAAAAGTTGGTGAAGTTAGCAGAGTGCTCTTTGAAGTCAGTGTTGCTTTAATACACGCACGTACAATTACATGCTTACAGTAATTTTTCACTTGTAAACCATTATTTTAGGCTTAATTCTTTTCCTGTAAGTTGGCAGAGATAGTAAGTCCTTGCAAAATAAGCATAACTTCAGCTGTCTTAAAAGTCTGGCTTTGTGCTGTCTTGTCCCGAATTTTCTTTGCTTCTGGTGTGATTATTCACACTTTTTTCCATATGGTGTTGAAACAATTAATCTTGGCAGGTAGACATCATCAAAAGAGTATTAGCTCAGAATGATCAACTGTAATTCTGTGGTCTGCTCTTTAGGGCCACGGTGAAAAATTACTCCTTTTTAGCTTTGTAAATAGGCAATAATAAGAAAACTTCTTTTCAAGATGTTTTATGGAAACGTTCAACGTTCCTGTCTGCATCTAGATTTCTAAGAGACATAAATCACGTGGAAGGAAATTTATAAGCATTAATGTTGCTGGCTGTGGAAGAGTAAGATTTATCGTATGCTTTTCCTCTCTGTGTTTTAATTACGTTCTTTTGAGATCTTACTTGTTTCTTGTCATCACAGTTCCTTTTCAACACACTGAATTCTCACTGAGATGATCCTTACATCGATGCTAATGCTAGTATCTGTTTTTCTTTATGATTCCATCTTGAATAAGCTCAGGAACTCGCAGTGCTCAAACATCAGTTTACTGTGTTCCTTTCTGTAGGAGATACTTACATTTAATACAGAGAAAAAAATCATGACCAAAGTATTTCTCGAGGCAGTTACGTCTAATGGGAAGTGGGACAAATTGGGCTCTGGAGGCTCAAATGGCACTTTTTGGAGCTATTTTTGGCACCTACTGGAAAGGAGAAGCAAACCAAAGGAGCCAAAGATCCTCCTCCCCAGTGTCCCAGAATACTTGATGTCAGAAGATTTTTCCACCCAATCTGTCATTTTCAACCTGTGAAGAAATTCTGTTGCCAAAGGAAGCATGGTGTTCAAGTGCAAGCCTTGACTGGTGCCTGAAACTTGCTTCTGTCTGTTTTTTTGTGTAAATATAATCTCAAATTAGCAACTTCAGAATAGGAACAAAATTCTTTTCATGCTGAACATGTAGGCTTGGTTGCTTCCTCTTGCATGCCTGCTTGGCAGGGTCAGGGGGGTAGGATTTACTGCTTGATTAGATTATCAATTGATTAATTCAGTTTTGATGTGGGTCTGATTCAGATGCGCAGAATTATAGATGTGGTGGTTCTGTAGAACTTGAGAAATTTGCAGTCTGTCACTTAATTTCTTGTGATTTAATTGTTGTAATCCAGTAGAGTTGTTTTTGGCAGATGCAGGCTTTACTGAAGATTGGACCATTGAATGTTGGATCATTGAAGCTTGTGCAGGTTTTGCTAGCAGAGTTGGGAAGTCCATGGGAAGGTCTGTAGGGGGGAAATTCTACTGAAATAAAGGAGAGACACTGGGGTTAAAATTCCTATGCCTGTTTCAGTGTTTCCAGCTTTTTTGTGTGTCTTACAGACACCTCTATAATATTCAGAAGAAAAACATGCCTTTAGTTCCCATGTCTTTATTCTTAAGGTTGTAGCTTCTAAAGGGCTGTAAATGCAAATAATCCTTTTTAAAACAAGAATAGTGGGACTCATTTATGTTGATAAAGAACAGCCATATATATGGTCACGGTGCATACAATTAACTGAGTTCTCAACTGTGCCCTCCACAGCCCAAAATGAAACACAGAGCAAGTCTGTGGTTTGCTTAATCCTCCAAGACAACTTCAGAAGTTGATGTGTTACACTGGAGTGTATCAGGAGATTTCTCCCTAGCTTTCCTGGCAAGGTTTATATGCATTGTTGAATGTGCTTTCCTAAAGCTGTTTGTAAGCTCATCACATTTATTTAATTTTGCTCTGCCCTGGGAGGGCCCCAGGTGGCTCACTGCTTTTGGGGTGGCTGAGGTGTGTTGTGATGCTGCTAGAGTAAATTGTCACAGTATGAGAGACCTTGGGGTATAGGCATAGTGTAGCTTTACGTGCAGAGTGCCTGTGAAATGATTACATATTGAATTTGGGGCAAGGAGGTCAGATGCTCTAAATGTTTCCAGAGGCTGAGCTGTTCTTTGCTATGAAATCTCAGACAGGCTGGAAAACTGAGTAGATGTGTTATTTTTTTTTCCAGTTTTCAGGAATAGTGAGTGATACGGGATTTTCTTCAGTCTCCATTCTAATATTTGTAGTGCACAAAAGAAAACATAGGGAAACTGGACCTCTGCTTGTCAGGTTCGTGAAGGCCTGCGTGTCTGTAGCCAACTACTTTGGGTGCAGCATCTTTTGACTGCAAGGGCACACAACTGTAATTCTGATTTATGCTACTCTTTCATTTTTACAGCTGTCTCCTTCATTATCATAGAATCATAGCATCGTAGAATGGCCTGGCTTGAAAAGGACCACATGCTCATCTGATTTCAACCCCCCTGCTATGTGCAGGGTCACCAACCACTTGACCAGGCTGCCCAGAGCCACATCCAGCCTGGCCTCGAATGCCTGCAGGGATGGGGCATCCACAGTCAGTTATCTGCACTCTGTCAGGATCCCATAAACACAACAGAGGGGTCTGGTTTCCTACCATCAGTCAGTGCATGTACTGCCTCCCCCCGTTCCCAACAGGCCGCTGCACCCAGGCAGAGTGCAAGGCAAAGAATTGCACAGCAATGAGGGTCAGCTTGCTGCCTTAGGAGCAGTTAGCAGCCCCATGGAGCCAGCTTACAGCCTATGTGTGGGTTGCTTCCATTGCCTGTGCCAGCAGTAGGCCAGTTTGTAGCCAGAGAGCTACAGATGATTACCGTGCCTTAAGTGTGGGTGCTGCAGAAGTTAAGCCCTGTGCCAGTTGTAACTTAAAGCTTTGGAATTGATGTTTTTTACTTCAATGCTTCAGTATTCGGAGCTGTGAAAATATTTCTCAGAGGACACTGTCAGCTATTAAACGGCTTTAAGTAATTAGCAGGTTTATAAATTGACAACAGACTGGGAGCTATGAATGTCTGACAGCTACCTATTTCCTCCTAAACTCGCTTCAAGTTATGAACCATTAAGTGTGAAAATTAAATAGCAGTCCACGTTTGCAACAAATGTCCGAATGAGCCATTATCCTTTGCCACCTTCTCTTCATACAGCACTTGAAAATTTTTCATACCCCGTGGTTTTTAAGATGTGCAGCAACTCGTGGCGAGGAAGTAAAGTGGACTGGACCTGTGTGTGCAGGCAGGGGCCGGGCATTCTGGCACGGTGAGAGGACAGCAGCAGGGGGTACAGCTGTGAATGATGTCAGATCCAGGGCTGTTTGTTCATTTGGTGCTCAGGTAGATTACTCACAAAGCTTTCTGAATATTAAAAGTCAGAAATGTCAGCTTGCGAAAGGGTTGGGGTTTTTTTTGTCTTTACAATACAGAATCATAGAATCACCAAGGTTGTAAAAGGCGTTTGAGATCAACCGGTCCAACCATCCACCTATCACCAGTATTTCCCACTAGCCCATGTCCTGTAGTACAACATCTACACATTTCACAGAATCACAGAATTGCCAGGGTTGGAAGGGACCTCAAGGATCATGAATCTCCAACCCCCTGCCACATGCAGGGCCACCAACCATCCCACCTAATGCTAGACCAGGCTGCCCAGGGCCCCATCCAATCTGGCCTTGAACACCTCCAGGGATGGACGGGGCATCCACAGCTTCTCTGGGCAGCTGTTCCAGCACCTCACCACTCTCTCCGTAAAGAACTTCCCCCTGACGTCCAACCTAAATCTCCCTTCCCTCAGCTTAAAACCATTTCCCCTTGTCCTGCAGTTATCTCTCCTTTCAAAGAGTTGATTCCCCTCCTGTTTGTAGGCTCCCTTTAGGTACTGAAAGGCTGCAATGAGGTCACCCCGCAGCCTTCTTTTCTCCAGGCTGAACAAGCCCAGCTCTTTCAGCCTGTCCTCATAGGGGAGGTGCTCCAGTCCCCTGATCATCTTCGTGGCCCTCCTCTGGACCCTCTCCAACAGCTCCCTGTCTTTCTTGTACTGGGGGCTCCACACTTGGATGCAGTACTCCAGATGGGGCCTCACAAGAGCAGAGTAGAGGGGAACAATCACCTCTCTGTCCCTGCTGGCCACCCCTCTTTTGATGGAGCCCAGGAAATTTCTTGAACATCTCCAAGGACGTTGACTCCACCACCTCCTTGGAGAAAAAAAAAAAATTTCTCACATCTTTAATGTCAGTAGGTGTCAATTTCATGCAGCTTGTCTACCCTAGGACAGTTAGAAATTGATGAAGTTTCAACATGTAATTTTGTGAGTATTCGGTTTCTGCCAACAGCGTATTGGAGAAATATTCCTGTCTATATTTAAAGCCATAAAGCTGTGTGCTTTTGTGTGTGCAGGTGTTATTTGGTGTTGTCAGTGCTCTCATGAGTGCTGAGTAAGTTCTGTTTGCCTTACAGGTCATTTTAATTTCCCTTCCCAGGTCTGAAAAGGTAGCTTTTTATCTATTTATGTTTATTTAATGAATACTTTTTTTTTATTTTCATCTTCACCTTTTGTAAAACACACGGAGCTGCCCTGATGCATAGGATCTGTGTAATAAAAATGGAAATTTGTTTCGCTCTGTGTGACCCTTGGCATCAGTTAAAGCTGGGTCTGAGTATATTGTGTCTAAATCTTGCTCATTCATGGCTTTCCAGGCTGAATAAAGGAGAGAAGAGAACAGTGGCCGTGACATACATACTAGGACAATGGGAAAAAAATGAATGCCTTTCACACATGAATCTTTAATAGTTTCTTCTATGCCACAGAGTTTTAACGTGCATCTTTCTTCCCCTGGTCTTGCAGTTGACTCCAGTTGGAACGACCATCTTTACAGGATTTTCTGGAAACAATGGTGCTACTGACATCGATGATGGTCCAAATGGCCAGATAGAGTATGTCATCCAGTACAATCCTAATGACAAAGTATGTGCCTTTACTTTTTTTCCTTTCTGCATATATATTTTAATATAAAAACATATATCTCTGTGTGTATATAAATAAGTTTATTTGTATTTGCTTATGATATATATATATATATATGTATAGTGATGTTGAAATAAGGAAGGAATAAGTGGCTGCTGTTGGACATCATAAATTCTAAACTTGAAATTTTAAACTTATTTCCAGTGTAGATTATTCTATCCACCTCGCTTGGCCCATAAGCTCACCCAAATTTATCTTTCTTTTCAATGCCGTGCTACTATCAGCTATCACACTCAAGCATCAATCATCCCATCTTTTCTAGTGTTGTTCACACACCTTCTGTTTTTTGGCATGTGTTTTCTGTCTGTGACAGAGAGTTGTGTTCATTCCTCCACACTTGCAGTAATGCATTCATAGCTAAGATATGTATTCATAGTCACTGCTAAGTTTCTCATGAGAGACGTTCTGTCTTCCTATAAGGAGCTGCTTATATATAGAGAGAGAGAGGGAAAGAGAGAGTTTTGTGGGTTTTTTTTTTTTTTAATAAAGCCACTTGGAAAAAGAAATATATATTACTAAAATGGAACAGTAATGTTCTATGTCTGTGGTCTGTACAGGCGTGTCAGTTTAGAGACAAAAAGTTTGAGGTATTAAAATACATGTTCTTTAGGCTCAGATTTGTGAATTTCTCTATTGCAATGCTTTTTTGCATGAGTGATCTATTTGAAGCATCCATATGCATTTTCTTGAAAAATTAAAATTATTTCAGCAGTGCTTTTTTGAAAACCAAGGAATGTTTTGCCATAGACTAAGACCATTGTTACTGATCAGGTGGTGTGATAATTTAAGTATGCTAACCTGATAATCTATTCATCTCATGCATAATGTTGATGCTGTAGCAAGAAAGTACATAGGAAATAGATTTATCAATCTCTCATTCAAAATCTCCGCTGTTACTTAAGGCTAAGTTGAGTAGAAATGTTTTTGTGCAACAAAATGTTTTTGTGCAACAGCAATCTGATTCTCAGTTTAAGTATAGACATAGAGGTTATGTAGAATAGTGAAGGACTCCCCTGTTTGGAGCAACTTTGCTGTAGTCAGTCACCTCGATAAATGTTTGCCTAATTTCTGTTGCATGCCAGGTTAATGAAACCTACTTCTTTCATCTGTAGAGAGCCTTTATGTGTGTAATAGTGTATGCTTGACAGAAATCACTTGTAAAGCTGCTTCACTGCCGCTCTCTTCTTGCCAGGAAGACACCCCTGCTACAAGTGAATTCTCTTCCTTAACCTGGGAAAGTGTTGCCATGCTCAAAAATGAGGTGTACAGCATAGTGAGAAATATTTTTGCTTCTCTACTTCTAGGATCCTCCCATGTTGTGTGTTGAAGATGCCCAATGTAGTTCGGCACCAGTGCCAGGCTGCTGCTTTTGAAAAAGCTGTAATGCTGATAATTTTCATTAAAGATCAATTGAGAATTAAAAAAGAAAAAAAAAAAAAAAAGTAAAAAGAGGTTTATCTAGAATTCAATTTAGCTTAAATACTTTGTTGTTTAATGGGAACGTATATAAAAGTCAAGAAGAAAAAAATGAATGCAAAAACATATTGGATGTTTTTCTGGTCCCTTTAGCTATTGTATAGATTGATGCCATAACCCTTAGCTCTTAAGAATCAAAAGATGATTAGCTTGCCAAAAGAATCTTCAAATGCAGAGTCATTTTTAGATCTCTGAGGACTCTGGTTCAACCTGAAGGTTGAGACAAATGCATCCACCAAAAAGTTCTGGACTCAATCCTTGTGAGCTAATTTTGCTGTGATTCTCTGTATTGTTCGGTGAGGATAACAATTACTCTTTTTGAGTTGCTATGATATTAGAGGTCTGCATAATGCTGTTGCTGTGCTGATTTGTAACATATGGTCCACATCTGCAGAGTAAGTTGACTCCTGATGACTTTCCCCTTGCCTCGTGGTATTTTGCCACACCACACTGCAACTTACAGCATGTTATCTGTGCAATGTTTCATGGTTTATGTCACAAAGCTTCCATGGGAGCCAATATGACATGCCAAAACTGCAGATGAATGACGTGGCAGGTAGTTAATGTACAGTCCTCACAGCTGTGGATCATGAATGCAAAGGAAACATGACCGGACTTAATGCTCCCGGTGACATTTTCTTTCATTATGAAGTCGCAAGTTAAAACTAATCCTGTGCCAGTAGGAATCTGTTGGAATTTCAGACTCTGTTGTAATAAGGACATGAGCAATACTCCTGTTTTGTTATGCTTCATTGGCGCTGTTTGTAGGTATGTGCATTAAATGTGTGACTGGGTACCTGAGAGCATGGGCATACCAGGTTCGTGTAAGCTGAAACTCCAGAGGGGAAATAATACAAAGCTTTGCTCTTCTTCGGTGTGTGCATCATTACCACAGATGAATCAGTATTCTTATTTTTTTCAGTAGATCCTATCTGTGGGAGGAGATAAAAACATTTCTCCTCTGTGTAGTAATTATATAGTGCTTTATATTTCATTGGTTTTGGTTCAGTGATGTGAAGTCTACCAGGCTCTCCAGAGCATGCAGCCTTGCTACAGAAGGTAGATTGCCACCTCTCTTGTGCACCTGCACGAGTGAATAGCGAAATTGCAGGAGTTATTTTTATTCTCTTGTCTGAGCTACTGCCTCCCAGGCTAGAGCACAGCCCAGAGCACCACCAGCTCTTCTTTTTACGCCAGTTTATTATAGGTGGGAAGGCTGTGGCTCGGGATGGGTGTGGAGATTATCTTGCTGCATTATAGAGCACTATACTGGCCTGAGACTTAGGGCAGCTTGTCAGCTAGCATGAAGAAAGGAGCGGTCGTAAAACTTGCACATGTAACATCAAAGCTAATTGGAAACGTGGGTCATTAAAAACATAATGTGTAATTATGATTTGAGTAGATTCGCCGAATCTGAAGGAGCAATGTCTGAGCATCAGAGGTTGTTACGTCAACTGTCTGTTCAACAGAGATCCAAGCTGAATGTGTCTCTGATAATCAGGCTGAAGCAGCAATGTGTGGGAAATTAAGTTCTTTACAGAGAGAGTGGTGAGGTGCTGGAACAGCTGCCCAGAGAGGCTGTGGATGCCCCGTCCATCCCTGGAGGTGTTCAAGGTTGGATGGGGCCCTGGGCAGCCTGGGCTGGTATTAAATGGGGAGGTTGGTGGCCCTGCATATGGCAGAGGGTTGGAGATTCATGATCCTTGAGGTCCCTTCCAACCCGGGCCATTTTGTGAAATCTTATTTCTGTCTCTTGTCTACTGCATGCTATAGAGACGACGAAAGCAGACTTCTTTCAGATGTGCTGTGAAAGAGCAAATGGTAACAGGTGCGAGATGCCACGTGGCAAATACCAACTAAAAGCTCTAGGTCATACTCTTTTCCCCAGTGACAGTGATCAAAGAGTGGAGCAGGAGCCCAGAGGAGTTGTACAGTCTCTGTCCTTGAAAATATTCGGCCTTCAACTGGCTGAGGCACAGAGCAGCCCTTGTGAGCTCCCATGCTCTCTGACAGCCTCCCTTATTCTCTGATTCAATTGAACTGTAAAACCTGCCTTTGATACAGAAGGGATTTCACTATTTTTGTCAGATGTGTTATCATCTGTGTTTAGATCATCTTTTAGAAAGCCCTGTAAATCACTTCAGATCCTCTGAATTTCAAAAGTGTCGTTCTTCAAATGGCTTTGTGCTGCTTACAGTCCAGCGGGTAGTGACAATAATGTGAAACACCATCTTTCTGCTACTGAGGGAATGGAGATGAACAACCTGGTAGTGACTTTCTAATTTTCCCAAAACGGCCAATTTTAGGTCTGGCATCAGGAAGCGATCCTTGCCATCCTGCAGCCTCCAGACTGCTTCACTGCTTTGAATTTGGTGAACATGCTGTGTTATAAGGACTGATGTATGAAAGCATTTTAGTATTTCTTTTTTGAAGCTTTTCGAGGGAGAATCAGTTCTGTTCTCTCGGAGTGTGCAGGCAACAAAGCAGTGTCTCTTTGCCAGGAAGCATAAAGGAGCTTTCAGTGTCCCTGACTTCCTGCATATGCTGGCTCATTTCAGTATTGGATGGAGGTGCAGCTGAGCTGTGCTCTTGCTTTGTGTATCTCTTAGTTGCCTTGGAACTTGGTTGTGGTTTGTGTTGCAGCAAGAAGTAGATTTTGCAGAGCAGTCACACGGATACGTGTGGGGTGAATCTGATGTGATATTTTTCAGAGTTGTGACACAAATTCACACCTGGAAGTTAAACTGCACATCACCAGGGAGCTGCTACTGCAATTCACTACCCTACTGAAGCAAGAGGGGACTCCAGATACAGGCACTTTGGGAAGAAGTTGAAGGGTTTTGTGCTGAAATTCCACTGATGCTTCCCAACAGTTCGGATTGTAGTGTTCCACTTCAGTGCATTTTTCTTTTTTCCAAGGAATGCCAGAAAGAGGGCAGTGTTCTGTGAGTGCGTTGGCTGATCCTCTGTTGCAGAGACTTTTCCAGTTGGTTCTTTCCTTTTTAACCAGAGAGAAATGGGCTAAAGCAGCCAGGAGGATCTTACTTGTGAGCTGGAGTTCCCATGCAAGTGCATGAGTGTGCATGCACACACAAACAGCATCATTTCATTACGATAGTAAAACACATTACCTGTTACTTGCATGGTTCACATCCCAACAGGGAGACAAAAGCAGTGAGCCCTACATGGTTCTTCCTTTCATTTTAGCTTCCTTTTTTGCCTCTGTAGAATCTTCCTTCTCCCCTGTATGTGTACGTATGCATAAATACATATCTGTACACAGTACCACTGGGTACTTTTTATATATCCAGAGTTGTTTATCCAAACAAACAAAAACTTGTCAAACTCAGTCATGAGCAAATTGTGGCTCATATTATTGGCAGAGTCTGTGATGGGCCTTCCAGTAATGATGGATTTAACCGTCATTATCATGTAATTGCTGCAAATAGTACTTTTTATGCAAATGTCTGAAATTTTATGGGAATGGGGAAGAGCCTTTTTGTGTTATCAAAGGTAAGAATAGTACTTTGTACTTCTGTAGTGTTTCCTTTTGAGAGGTTTTTATACTGCTCCACAGCACCATACTTCAGTGTAAAGTATGTTCTACACTGGTAGTCCTAAGCATGGAAAGATTTTGGTGTGAACAAAGGTGTGAAAAGCTTTTTGAACATCAGCATACTTTCAGCACGGCAAATCAATAAGAAACAGGAGAGTTAGGCTTCGGTTCTTGATGAGAAGTAACAAGTTACTTGCAAACAGCCAGAGAGAATTCTGTTACATACAGAATACTTACTGTGAAATTCTCATCAAGTATGTTGGGCAGGGAGGGAACAGGAAACTGTTTAAAAGCTCTATCTGAAAGACAAGCAGTTTTGATATTCAATAGGGTATCTCATTGTGGCCAGTCTTGAATGTCCTTTAACTTTGACGCACGTTCAATTTCATCTTGCTGTTTTAATTTTTGCAGACTTCCAACAGGACCTTTGATATTCCTCTCACTTTATCTGGAGCAGTAGTTCTGCGGGAGAGACTAAATTATGAGGAAAAGACTCGTTACTTTGTGATTGTTCAAGCAAATGTAAGTATAGATCTCATAATAGCCATTTATAGTTCTAACTCAGGCGGCCTTTAAGTCCCCGGATATGGATTTTTTCCTAGGAGAAGAAAAGCATCTCTAAAATACCAGGTCTGATGCACTCTTATTCTCAAGACCCTATTTAAGATGTATCTAGGTGCTTTCTGTCACTGAAAGATTAGACATATTATTGCTGGTTAAAAAAGCTTGCTCAAGATGCATAGAACAAAGCAACCTTCTGGCGCAGGGAACGAGTTGCGTATTTGAAGTACAGCCCATGCAGAAAAGTGCATCCTAGTGTCACTAAGTGTTCATCTTCTAACACATCTAGCAATGCTAATTTGATGTCAAATGACTTTAATGGATACCATTTGGTTGTATCCTTCATGTTTGAAAAGCAGTTTTCTTTAAAGAGGTGATTTTTCTTTCAAGTCTTACTACGTGGTTATATGGAGGTTTTTACACAGTGGCTAGCAGTAGATAATGCATACCCGAGAGAAGGGTGATGTTTAAACTGTATCTAATATATCTGTCATCGGAGAATTTCTTTTTGTGCCTTTGAGGGCTGTGAAAGCTTTTTTTTTGTTTTTTGTTTGGCTAATGGCTGAAATGAAAACTTTTTCTCTGTTGTTTACCACTGTTGTGGTACTGTTTCGTTTATGGGGAAAAGGAGGATCCCCTGCAGCAACTTTATGATAGTTTTAAAGTAATGTAAACTTGCTTTCCTATGTATTTTGTGGTATGTTTAGCATTTCCCTAATAGAAGATGGGCTTTAAGGGTGTGCCTTTGTGCTCTTCACTGTGCTTTTGAACGTTCAGAAAATTGAAGGCTGTGGCTCTGAGGTTGAAGTTCTCGTAATTCTGTATCGTGTAGAATCTACACAATTGGGAAGGTTATACACTTTGCCCTTACCTTTAACTTGAAATCTTTCTGTAGATTCTGACTTCTCACAGAATATTGCCCATTTGCTCCCCAGGACCGAGCCCAGAATCTTCATGAGAGAAGGACAAGTACAACCACCCTCACAGTGGATGTGCTGGATGGGGATGACCTGGGTCCAATGTTTCTTCCTTGTGTCTTGGTGAATAATACTCGTGACTGTAGACCTCTCACCTACCAAGCAAGCTTGCCAGAACTGACTGATCCTGTAAGTCCTCTTGATTTTTGTTAAGTTCTGTATGTTTGTTTTGTAACGTTGTCGTCTTTCTCTGTGGACACAATGGAGAACTGTGACTAGGAGGACTGTGCATGCTTTGTGTCAGGTTTTATGTGCTAAACAGATTAAAATTGAGCTAAAATACTTCTATGAATAGATGAAATTCTAGCTTTGGTACAGTGGTCTATTGCTTGGACAGGGGCTGAGTCTTGCTGAAGTTTGGTGAAATTGTGTAATTGCTTTCTTAGCTCTGTCTTCGTTGTAATCTTGAAATATTCTGAAAAACCACTTGGAGGAGGGGACTTGACGTGTCCCTCTTTTCAGGATTATTAGAGGCTTCAGGGGGAAGATTTGTAGGGAAGGAGGCCTTAGTTGTTTGTCCCTGAAAAGCTTCTTTGCCATTGTATCTGTTTTCAGTCAAGAGGCACTAAAGAGCAACTAGTGATTATCCCATGTAGCTGCTTGTATTGCGTACACTGGTTAATGCATCAGTTAGGATTAGTATAAAATTCAGTCATTTCACCCTTGGATATGCACAGTGGATCACAAAAAGAAGAGATGAGAGCTCTACAAAATCCTGATGCAAGATGACGCTAAGTCGTCTTCCCTACAGGGGAAGAAGGCTGCTTGGTAGCTGGAAGTGTGCATCATTGGAGCAGGAGAAATGCTCTGCAGTTGGCTAATTAGATTTATGTGAGTTTCTTAAGCAGTGCTGGTAAATGTCCTTTGATTCACATATTTAAAAAAAAAAAAAAAGCAGACCCAGTTGAATCATTGGGCTTATCCCCACCTGATCAACTCTGACATTAGGTTAACTTTGACTGTTGACATTGAGGCCATGACTTCCCTTTTGAATCTAAGGACACTATCTTTGTCCTGCATCCTCTGACCAAGAGACGGGGAGGATGAGGCTGTAGGTGTGGAGGTTCCTGCTATTCTCTGCCTTATTTGCCTTGCTGTCCTGTTCCTTGTAGACTTTTGCCATCCCACGAGTGTTAGGCTTCCAGCTTTGTCTGGGCTTGGGCCCTGTTGCAGGGCAGCTGCCCTGCTTCTTTGACACAGGATGACTTCCTTAGCAAGTTTCAAAATGTCTCACAGTTGTTTCATCCAATCTAGAACCAGCTGAAAATGTCACTAATGTATGCAGGAGTTCATCAGTTCCTTCTGTACAGGCCAACAGTACAGGCTCTCATTAAATAGCCAGTACAATCTCTAGGAGATGAGAGGAAGCTTTATAGCAGTCATGATGTTCAGTTATGCTTTTTGTATAAGAAGGGTCTGGGACAAGTTTCAGGGAGTTTATGTAAGTCAGGCTGGACCTGATGGCAAACTGAAGGGAGATTGGATCTTACAAGCACCTCAAAAGGAGATCATTTCTCTGTGCTGAGAAGCTCTTCCTCACAACTGCATCCTTATTTTTAAGTTATAGCAAGACTGGAGCCTTGATACTCAGCTTGTAACAGCAGAAAATCAGGAGAGAAGGGAAGGGATCTTCCATATTTAATCTTATTAGTCTGATTTATGCTACTCTTTTTTTACTTCTACACCTTGGAATTTCTAATTGCAGTGGCTGAATCTGACTTTGTGAATACATGCATTAGATGAATGTGGCTTGCATGTGGCATTATTTGAAGGAAACTGCATGTTATTTCTCAGCTCAGTATGTGGCCTCATCAGGGTTACAGGGGGTACCCAAGCTAGGCAGAGAATGACAGATTGTGACCCCATTTTATCCACACAGATCAAGTGGCGTTCACAGTACATAGGCAGCTAAGGCAGTATTTAAGAAAGATCAGTGCTTGGTTGTTACGTTTATTTATTTCTTTGTTTTTAATCTAGCTACCAAAAGGCAGGACAGAGGTCATCTACTTGTCCTGAGGCAGCTCTCACAGATGGAAGGAGCTCAGCCCTGTCTCCATTCTTGCCCTTGCTGTGGACAGGCGTGTGCTGGGCGCTACAAGGCAAAATGATGCCTGCCAGGAAGGCCAGCAGAAATCTGACATAGAGATTACTTCTGAGTTGCAAAATACATTCGTTTGACTTCCAAAGCTGTTCAGGTGTCAGCTTTTTTTGTTTTCTTTTTGGCTGTTTTGTGTCGAATTGCACCTTGAGAGGTCTGATCTGTGACATGAGAAACTGGTTCTCTTGATAAAAATAGCTGCTATTTGCTGTTTATCTTTTGGCAGTGACGCAGCTATTTTGATAAACATAAGTGGAAGAAGGATGTTTCTACCACAGCTTTACCTTGGTACTTGAAATATTTACCTGGCTTGTAAATTAGAATGCAATTAGACAATAGGACGATTTTATATATATAAAATAATAATTAAGAAAAATCCCTAAATTAATAAAACACACATTTGTTCTGCAAACAGCAGTATGATGGAGGTGCAGTGATGTAATGGGATCCTCCGATCTGATGAAGCAGCCTGGGCAGAGAAACTCGTTCAGAAGTATTTTGGAGATGGGGGAAGTGTTGGTAGTAGGTGGGCAGTTGGACTGGATGATCTTGGAGGTCTTTTCCAACCTTGATGTGTCTATGATATAAAAAAGTTTGCATTACACCATGTAGGCAAGAATCCATAATGATGCAAGACCCTATCCCCAGTGTCAGGTTGTATAGAAGCTGATGGTGGCCAGTGTACTCCCCAGAATGATTAATGTCAAGTTACTTGCACTAATTAGTTTTTGTTGCTTTTTTGAAAATCAAAATTTACTACTCTGTAAGATTTGAATCTTTCAGCAAGAGTAGCAAATAGAACAGAATATACTGTTTGGGTTGTTTCAGGCTTCTCTTTTCTTTCCCTAATGGTAACCACTACATAGGCTAAAGGAGTATTATTAGTCCAGCATCATCATTTACTTTTTAAGTACTTTTTGTATTTTTTACAACAAACACAAAGAGGAATGTTAATGAATCTTTAACAGAGAATGCCAAGAGTATTCAAAAACTTAAGTACTGTAAAGCTTAAGTCTTGCTTTACAGTATGTCTACTCAACTGACGCCTAAAATGAAGCATTTATAAGTAAAACATTAAATGTAACTGGAAATAGAAGGGTTCTGGGTTTTTTTTGGTCTTACAAGATTAGTTGTCTTTAATTGGCCTCTACCCATGAGTTTGCTGAGGTAAATAGACTGTTTTCTTCCCAAGCTTCTTTCCTTTAGAAGTTCCAAAGCAGTTTGATGCATTAGCAATGAAGTATCCATACAGCTTGGGCTTTGTTTACGGTCTTTGCAGGTGAAGTGAAAGAGACCAGCAAAGTTAATGGATCTCTTCATTACCAGAGAAACGATTTTTCCTCAAAAACAGTACCAGTACTTACATTATGCCTTCTGAGAGTTGGTCTGATGTCTGCCTTGTGGCCGTATTAATAATTCTATTAAATCTGCTCCAAGCTGTGTGGAGTGCTATACGATTAGTGTTTATACACTTGTAAAAAAAAAAAAAAAAAAACTGTTTTGCATTGCTATTTGCACAGATGGTGCAAATTATCCCAAAGCTGCACATCTTCCAGGCAGAGCCAGAGGTTGTGTGATGGTCCCATCTGGTGAGCATATAGAATAACATGTGATAATAGTATTTCTAAGTCAGCACGTTAACTGAGCGTGGCCAGAAGGTAGGACTTCATCGATGGTTGCCTCACTTGGTGACTGTCCCTTCTGCAGCTCATCACCAATCATCCACTGTACTTAATTGCCATCACAGTCTCATTAGGGCTATTATAAGATCATAGCAATTGGAAAGGACCTCTGGAGATCACCTGGTCCAACCCCTGCTGAAGCAGGCTCCCTACAGCAGGTTGTACAGGAAAACATCCAGGTGAGTCTTTAGTATCTCCAGAGGAGGAAACTTCATGACCTCTCTGGGCAGCTGTTCCTGTGCGTTGTCACCTTCACAGTAAAGATGGTTTTCCTCATGTTCACATGGAAGTTCCAGTGCCTGTTCCTTCTAGTCCTGTTGCTGGACACCACTGAAAAGAGCCTGGCCTTATCTCCTTTACTCTCACTCATTGGATATTTATAAGCACTTAAAAAATTCCCTCCATCTTCTCTCCAGACTGAACAGCCTCAGGTCTCTCAGCCTTTTCTCATACAGTAGATGCTCCAGGCCCAAGCTGTTTTTGTGGCCCTCTGCTGGACTGTCTCTAGAACATCCCTGTCTTTCTGGAACTGAGGAGCCCAGAACTGGACACAGTGCTCCAGATGTGGCCTCACCAGGGCAGAGCAGAGGGGATTATCACCTCCCTTGACCTGTTGGCCATGTTCTTAATGCACCCCAGGATACCATTGGCCTTCCTGGCCACAAGGGCACACTGCTGGTTCGTGGCCTACCTGTTGTCCACCAGGATACCCAGGTTTTTCTCTGCAGAGTGCTTTTCCAACAGGTTATCCTCTGATGTGTACAGATGGACGTGGTTGTTCCTCCCCAGATGCAAGAGTTGCCTTTCTTGAATCTTCCAAGGTTCCACTCTGTTCAATTCTCACTATGATTACGGCTAAGATAACGTAAGCAGTAAGTAGTTACTGTTGTGAAATGGTTGTACTGTTAAAACTTCTTAGAGTAGGCAGAATCTCATCCTCTGGAGTAAACAGTTTTCACCTATGGAGAGCACATTAGCTATTCTGAATGCTTTATCCTGTGTAAGGTGAGCACTGGGAGCTCAACTGTTTTATTGCTGCTGAAGCTCAAACACGGAGCTAAATTAACAGCCTGTAATTCACACCTACATTATTTATGGCTTCCCCGGGCTTTAATTTGCTTGTGAAGTCCCACCTGTTGTGTCTGATTCAGAAGTTCTCAGGGAGGGAAAAATGAAGTTTAAACTCTTGTGAAATTCATTGCAAAAATTATCTTGCAGAAAAGTCACCAAAGCCCATGACAAAACAACATTCAAAGTCATTATTTAAAGTTCTGTCTCATAATACAGATGCAAATCTTAATTTCCTTCAGGAGAGTTAAGCTACAGCTTCAGTGATGTTTTAAAATGAG